GGTGAGTGAGAAGGGGCCAGCAACTGGCGGGAGGGTGGGTTGGGGCTATTTCCTGGCACTCAATGAGCCATTTACAGAAAATAGACACCACTGCTGTGGAGAGGAAAGGGACCTCTCGTGAGTTAAGAAAAAAAGGCTAAAGTGAGTGCAGCGTGTTGACTGGATACAGATACCTGTGCCAGCAAGTATTTAAAAAGCTCGCCAAATGCTTTCTGGAATTATATAACACCATGGTGAGGAGAACACAAGATTAATCACAGACCAAGATGGCTGCCAAGAGGATGGCTTCAACATTCATTGTCTTGCGGAAATAAAACCACAGCAATCAGTGGCATTTGTGGCCGATGGCAGCCCACAAACACAGCTGCATCATGCCCTGTTTCTTTGAATTTTAATTTTATGCCATTACAGTCTATGTCTGCCCCTGTCTGTCTATTCCTCCATCGTTCCCGCAGTCCGCTACTCGCCATCTGTCCATTGGCCCTGGTAGCATTCTTATCCACCATTTTAATTTGCTTGGGCAGTCATTTTAGCACATGTACAGCACTGTATTATAAAATCTGACTGTAAGTACAGAGCAGAGCTGCTGAGGGAAGGAGGCTGACAAATGAGCGTCGAGAGACATGAGTCATGAAGTGTCACAAACATATCAATCTGTAGGTACAGTGCATACATATCTCAACAATATGCTGCCAGCAAGTGAAGCTTAATTTGTAATGTACAATATGTGTTGCATGCTTTGTGCTGTCTCAGGCTGATATTGGCCTGGTAAATGTCGTCTGCCATTGATCAGACACTTGTGCCTAAATGGTGCCTGCAGCAATGACGTAACTCTCTCCTCCACAGCGCCAGCCTCTTGCACAAATATGGTCACTTCTGGCTCCAAAAAACCAAGATGGCGACTACCAAAGTGCCAAACTGGAGGCTTTAAAATTGCGATCCAGAAACCAATGGGTGATGTCATGGTAGCTATGTCCATTATTTTCACAGTCTATGATTCGGATCAGTAATCGTCTCCCTAAGGACTCGGTAGGCAGACATTTCTCCATTATCTGTTTCGGAGAGGCTGAGATTGTCACTACAATGAGCATAGTTGGCCCACCTGAACGGTCCACATTAAGTGAGCCTGGTTAGGTTCCAGTGGGAGGCTAACTTAGCTTGCTAACATCAGACTAACCTTCTTTGCTTTAATTAGCAGGTATCAAGGAAGACACAGGAACTTGGCTAGGGTCTTGGGCAATTATTCACTGACAATACACACTGCGTTGTACGTTTAACCACACAGGCCACAGCCTGACTCAGTCTTCTCTCTATGCGCACAATCTGGCACTGAAATCTACATTGCGATTTGGTCCAGTTAGTACCGCCAGTAGAGGAGCCGGTGCCATACTGGCAACGGGTATCGGTACCCAATCCTACATCTGGTCACTGGTTTGAAGATGTTGTTGTATGAGGTTTTATTTCCATTTTTTGACAATGGCCACTTTTAAGTAGGAAAGGATTCTAAAAATGATGTTTGTTGTATTTTATCATGTTGAAAATGGGAGATATCCTCTTCATTATAGACTATTTCTCCAGCCAGACAGAGTTGGTAAAGCCACACATTAAAGAATTTAAGGAAAACTTCTGTGATATTAGAACTAGGTTACAGAAATCTGGAAGTACTGCATTTTAAGGAAGTCCTTTGAAGTGGTTTTCTGAAATCTGACTAACTATAGGTGATGAACATTCATTATGGATAAAATTTCAGATTTTGGTGATGCTTGCTGCAAGTTTGTTTCTCTTGTAGCGATTTTCGCATAGAGGTGAAAAGAATAAAGAAACCTGACAGGTGAATTAACCGAATGACGCCTTCAGTTGTCTCAATCAATCACGTGACATTCACCTCGCAGGTCGTTGCACTCCATGAGTCTACCAGTCTGGAACAGAGTTATAGAGAGCTTTCCATTTCTTCCTCCGTCTTTGTCTTACTGCCTCGTTCTCCTCCTTCCTCCATGTTCTCTATCTATTACTAGTATTTGTATTACTGTATCATCTCCTAACCCTGAACCCTATTAGGGAGGCTTCAGGATAGATTCATTTTAAGAGATTACTCCACCTGCTGGGAATTTAAAAAAACAAAAACAAAAACAAAAACACTGGCTACTGGTTTCAGTACAAAAACTATTTCACTGATACTACCTTTCTAAAACCTGTTCTGCTTTAAGTATGAGTATGTGCATTCAAGTGTGCGCATAGAGCGTAATGAGCGGGTATGCAGTGGGAATTTATTTTTGTTGAGCCTTTCAATGCTGACTTTATTAAGCATCAGCACTGATTGAAAGCTATTTTTATGGGTGTATGATTAAGCTTTTTCCAGGAGTGGTTGTTCTCTCAGCTATCTCTACTGTAGATAGTATCAGCGAGCTCCCTGTTTTGATGTGTAAATGATGAGCTTGTTAAGCCTGGCCCATAATATCACCATGAAAAATTCTCTATTTCCCTCCATGCCAACTCAAGTCTTGCAGACGGGGTGCCAGAGCTAGGTAATAAATATGCAGGGTAACAGAATTCAGAGTTTTAAAAACAGATTCCCAGAGATGTGGCGCACTAAACGTTGTGGAGTGCAGGATTCAAAACTTCATCTCACTCTCTCCTCCTCTTGAGTTCCTCTGCTCATGTCCTTCCTTCCTGTCCATCTTCTCATTCCCTCCTTCACACAAGAGCATTTTTCTAGTAAGAGCAATGTCTATCTACCTCCTGGCCACAGATGTTGTCAAAGCAGAGAGCTGTCTGTATTTCATAGAAATACACACACAAAATGCACATACAAAACACACATGCAAACAAACACAAGGTAAACAAACACACAAGTTCAATAGAATCTAATGAAAGTCAATAGGCTCAGAGATGGAACAGAGAGGCTCACGCCAACTATCTAGCTGGCAGGTGCAAGGACAAGCTTGATAAGCACATGATAGCTAAACACACAGGTGTCACCTTACTGCACATTTCTGCTCCACAGAACAACCAATAGCTATCTGGTGTGTTGTTTACATCCACTGACGTGTCTTTCTGCAGATTTCCAGTGTATATTATAGTTGCTTGGTGAGTCATACTCTGATGAGGATGTAGCTCAGGTCTGCGAGGACATCTTGCATTTCAGAAAATAGAAACCAAAGCGCCAGAAATATAACAACAAGCATGCACATATTAACACGTACTTGTTTATAGACAAATTTACACACAAATAATTATGTCTAATATGATACTACATTACTTGAACTCCTCGACAGACGCTCGTTTCAGCATGAAGTAAGTCTCCACAGCTAACTGATATAAATAAATATCTTTGTGTTGTTTTCATCCTTGTACCTACATGCTTGCCTGCCCAAAAAAGCAATTTATGTGCTTGTAGCAACAGCAACAAAACTTAACCTTGCTATTGAATACAAGTGTGTATTTCAAAGGCATCTCCTTTAGAAACAGGTACATTCTGGGAGTTTTCTTTGCCATTTGGCCTTCATTTTTTCCATCAATCACTTGCAGTCTAGTATTCAGGCAGTGTCACAATGTGTATTTGGGATCGGACTGGCATACATTTGTTGGTGTTCTGTGTATTAATAGTGAAAAGAGCTGGGTTGGTAAAGTGCTCTGGGGAACACATTGTACCAGGCTGAGTGTTCTGCAGAGCAGAAGATTGCTACTGCACTTCTTGCAGGTAATCCCTGACAAACAAGCCAATAAATAGAGAGAAGAGCGCGCACACACACACAGGCACACAAGAACCACACAGACAAACACAGAAGAGCACTTATAGTTCAACTATGGCTTGAACCCCTCTTCCTAGACTGAGATCATTACCACCGAGAGGAAGTGAACACAGAAACAAAAAATTACTCGTCCTTTCATGCCGCCATCCTGCCAATCTTTTCACTCTTGAGTGACCCTGACAAGACGAGCGAGCAGAAAGGAACATGAAAAGCAGCCGATTTACAGTAATTGCAGGCGGAAGAAATATGCCACGTAATGTGACATTCAGTTCAAAATGCAGCCTCTTGAATTATGCTATCTCTTCCAAGCACAAGCTTCACTCCCTTTCTTATCTGTGCCTGATAACCTTTGTAGGGTTTGCAGCAAATGAAATGTAGTATCTGGAAGGAGGCATTTCCCCTCTTTGGCACTGCAGTACAGTACAGAGTCAAAGAAACTGTAAGTATTAATTCAAGGGGTCAAAAGTTTACCAGATGCAAGAATGAGTGGTGTTTAATGCCTACAGTGAGCAGTCATAAAGCTCGACTAATTTAATGGCAGCAAATGCCATTTAGCAAGCATGAGTATAATTGAATGGTAAAATCTATTATAAGAATGTCTAGCAGGTAATTAACATCGACTGGACTGAGTGGAAAAACTTTTATTAGCTCATATCAATGACGAAACACTACAAAAACATCAGCTAGATCACGTGTGCCACGTGAGACTGCATTTCACTACAAGGAGAAGCCCTTATAGTTTGATAATATGTCTTACTTTATACACAAGTCCACATGCTTTTTGGAAGTCATGCTCAAATTTTTAACAACAGATTTCAAGGGCTCTACTACAACAATGGGTTTAAGCCATTTTGACTCCGTCTCTGATTGTTAAATGAGGGAGGATTCTACGGATTAGAGCAACGCCAATTAGACATTCACCCTGGCAAGGTTAATGAGGGATTAAGCCATGAGTTGGGACCCCTTTGAAATCCCAGGACCTATCTGCACACTGCAATTCTAAGGGACAAGATTTTTTGGAAACTCAATTAAGTAGCAAATTCAGGTTTTCTGATAGTAACACAGAAACATGAAGAAACCATAGTGTAAGTAAGTACACAGGAATCAGCATGTCTGTTTAATCCTATCCTACCCACTGACAGATTTGGCACAGCAGCATCCAGGGTTCACAAACACTGCACATACTGCACAGGCTATATATGACATGCACGCATACACACACAATGTCATATGCTGTATAACCCCTACCTGCACCAGATTCCAGCCCTCCAAGGATTCTGCGATGATGGAGGTCACAGAGGGGCAGACACCACCGAAGATCATCAGGTGTTTGGGTCCGTAACATATGGCATCAAAGAAGGCCCTCAGCCCCTTGGCGTTGTCACACTACAGACACAGAGGAGGGTGGTGAAGGTGAAGGTGAGAGCATGAATAAAGGGGGAGATAGAGAGACAAGGAAAAGAGATAAAGGACATTTTAATTAGTTTTTGTGGTAAAAACCAGGAGAAACATGACAAATTTAAGATGAGGGCTCAGCAACAACAACAACAAGAAGAATCTGAATGTCAAATATACTTCACAAACCCTTATAAAAATCTAAACCTACAGACTCCTCTAAAACAAATATAAGTTACAGATGAATTACAGATTCTTCCCGTTCATTTTTGTCAGGAGAATAAGAGGGATAGTTTGGGATAATCGTCAAAGGAGCAGGGCAGTACCTAACCCTAACCTGTTAGTCAATGAATCAATAATTACCAGCTGTACAAGAAAAACCGTTGTGCTCACCAGGTACGCAGACATACTGTGATGGATGCACCACAAAAACAGGGTACTGACTAGTGTTATTGTGTTGTAATGTATATTGTTTATAAAAAAATGATGTGACATTTTAATAATATTTCACTTGTTATACTCTCTAAGCGCTGCGGTACATATTAACATACAATAATCACAACCTTGTGTGTGTGTGTGTGTGTGTGTTTTGAAACCATCATGTAAAACAAATGTATCTCACAGGCTGCGAGAGCAGGCCCCCGCTCTGATCCAGTGCTGCAGAATACAGCCATTTCACGTCACTATAGCAACCGGAGGGAGAGATTGTGCGAGAGGAGGAGAGAGGGAGAGCAATGAGAGAAGAGAGTGTAGGTTTCTATTGATTGCTACACGAGCTGGCTAACTGGTTTTGCTGTGATTCCCTGATTTCCACAGTTTGTAATGATATTCCTATCAGCAGTAAACACTTCCCCCCTCAGTCCTCCATTATTGCCACTCAATTCAGGATGTGTTCCTCTGTGCCGCAGACAGATAGATGGACTGACTGACTGAATGGCAGGTGGTGTGTGTGCGTGTGTGTGTGTGTGTGTGTGTTTGTGCGTGTTTTTGCGCCTTCTGACACAGTCCATCTCATCTGGAGAGTTATTTGACCTTGTTAGCCATCAGCCAGCGACTGAATGAGATTTCCTACTGAACAACAGCACAGCCGGTCCTCCACAGCCCAGATTGAAAAACTGAAAATCGAATGTGGAGGAATGACAGTCCTAACTACACATGCAGGACTGTATGTTGTGACCTTCTGGGTAAATTTACTAGGAGCATGATGAGTATCATGGCTCCAGGCTTGACGCATCTTTACATTTTACATTCTCCTGTTTTTCAGTCAGTTTTTTGATGATCATCTCAAAGCCATAAGTTGAGGTCAAGGACTCAGACAACCTTGCAAGTGAGGGGAGTTAAGAAGGAGGTAGTGGGCGTAAAGAGGCACTTTGGGGTGGTAGATGGATCACAAAACACAGGACTTTCCCCTAGGAGATGGGTATTCGGAACCATGTGAAACCAAGTGAACCTAGAGTCATTGTACCTCTACTTCACCAAAATAACAAACCTAACCTATAGGGTGAATCTGTGCAACCTGCGGCCTCTGTGTGTGGCTCCCTTGACAGCTATCGCCGTGGACCCGCTGGCTCCTGCCAGGATTGGGCTGGTAAATGCTAGATCACTAGCGAACAAAACGTTTATCCTGAAGGATTTCCTGACTTCCCGAGGATTGGATTTTCTCTGTGTGACTGAGACGTGGCTGACTGTTGGTGAGTCCAGTGCATTCACAGAACTTTTACCCGATGATTGCTGCTATTTTAACTCCCCATGGAGGTCTGGTCGAGGAGGAGGAATAGAGACTATTTATAAGAGTCACTATAAATGTAAGCAGCTAGGTAAGATGACGTGTGCCGCCTGAGTGCCGTAAATCGTTTCATCCTGGAAGCGACCTGGTGCGGACCCGGAGACAGTTTCCTAAAGGTATGGATATGCACTATATAGAAATAGCTTATCTTCACACCGATGGTCTCATTTGCTATTGTAGGTCACGCACAGACATCAGCAGAAACGAGAGACTTTTGCATATCCAGTTAAAAGTTCCTTATAGCGGCTTTAAGTATGTAACTTTACAATGAGTATCTAACATCATTTGTGGGCTGCTAATTTGTTATTATTTGGTATCATACAATACAGTCTCTGGCTTTTCTTTGATATCTAGTGTCGACAACAAAAGATTCACATTCCCAATCCTTCATAGTTAGTAGGGCTGGGCAATAAATCAAAACTTAATCAAAACCTACATTCAGAACCTCTATTTGACGTCATCTTGCCCACGTCGTTTTAAAATCACAAAGATAAGATATGCACTCTTTAATTAGAAAAAAAATTACCCTAGCTTTAATAATTGAGCATATTTATAGTACAGAGCTTGTCAGTGGAATATGAGAGAAAAAGACAAAAACAAAATAATTGTTCATTAATCATAAACGAGGTAAAATGTTCAATTAATTGTGATATTGATTTGAGGTCATATCACCCAGCCCTAGTAGTTAGCATGCATTAGCTTGAAGGGCTAACTCAGTTTGTTTACTATATTATGTGAATGTCAATGTCACCCTGAATGTCCCGCTGAACCCCGTTCAAACTCTCAAACTCTATAAAAAAAGGAATAAACAGTCCAGTATTCGCATTGAGCAGGATCAGATTTCACTGGCGTTATTCTAAGTCAGGTACAGCCCCACAAGTCACACAATGAGCTGCAACAGCAACCTGCCTGCACTTCACTCACCCCTCCACAGCCTGATTTAATCATGCGATTTAAATCATCAGACTCTTTTTGTGAGAATGCCTTTCAATTTTTGAAGTAGAATACCAATTACTGGTAAAAATCAAGGCATTCCCCAGTAAATGTAAATTCATGCTGGTAGAGAACAATGTATGCTGTGATGTCAGTCAAAAATAGACTAGACTGCAGATATGCCTCAGGTGAAATGAGAGGGAGAGGATGTGATTAGACACAGTGGGGATCCCTTATCCTGGCCACACAGCTGAATAAAACAGCAGGCTATTAAAGAAGATATCACATTTGCATGCTCTTATCATTCAGTTCTCCCCAGCTGGCCATAACAAGGAGGGCTGGTGGGTTTGTAACTCTCAAATGGTTACCATGCAACAGAAAAGGAATGTGGGCAACTTAACTTGTCAACGTGAGTACAATAGAGCCCGGTGATAGTGCAGGTTTAAAATGATTTATTACCCAGAGTGACAAAGTAGTGTAGGTGGTAAAGAATGGTTATGTTCCTCACTCGCTCCGCAGTAAATCAAACTGTCTTATAGCATTTTCAACCAGGGGATGGGGAACGAGACAGACCCAAAGGTCACGCACAGTATAGCGTTTTATCCTGCAACCAATCATTGTTTTCTTGCTAGGTCAATCTGCTGCTTATCTTCTTGATGAATCCACTGATCATTTGTTCCAGAAGTCCAAGGCAACATCTTTAAATTGTTTGTTTTGTCCAATCAACATTCCCTAACCCAAATATCCTCCATTTACTATGATAAAAAGCAGCAAAGCAGAAAATCCTAAAAATCAATAAGCTGGAACTAAACAATGTGTGGCATTTTTTGCTTGATGAATGACTTCAACAGTTTATCAGTTATTAAAATATAATTGCCAATTATTTTTCTTTCAGTCGTCTTATCATTTCAGCTCTAATCACATATGTAATTTCTTCGAATATTATGAATCGCTCATCGGAAATTACAGAAAGTTATGAGAATCCAACAAAAAAAGAACCTTTAGCTTTTTTATAGAGGAGGGAATCCAGCAAGGAAAAAAGCAAGAACGCAAAGTAAGGCCTTCGTTCTCTGCTCATCTCCTCCGCTTCATTCATCCTCTCACACATTTGCTCGGCACACATACACAAAATCAGTTGTGACTGCTCACAGAGCCTTGACCGGTGTATTGTCATGCCAACGGTGTGACTATCCACACTTGTGTGCGCTAAATGAGGGAAGAGGATGCATCAGGGCCGCGGTGTAGAGATGGTTATATTTAGCCTCTCATTAGGTAGCATGACCACTTAGATGTGAATCAATACTTATTCAGCTATGGAAACACTGTAAAGACAATGCCAGATAGTCAAAGCAAGACAGACGGGAGAGAGGCGATGGAACATAATGGGACAAAAGTAAAGAGGCATGGAGGTAGTGGAGTGACGGTGGGAGAAAGAGGCAGAAACAAGCAGCTGAATAGAGAGAAAGACCAGAGTGAAGAGGTATTAGCTTGACATTAAGCGCGCACTAATAAAGCCAAGCCAACCAGTGCTATAAACCTGCCCTCCATTATAGCCCCACAATGGAGTAATTCATGACTATGAGATTGATTCAGTGGCTCTCTGTGATGCTCAGCAGCTGCACAGTGCCCTGCAAATTTCTTACAGTCCATCAATTATAGAAAAAATACGTTTTAATATCAAATCTAAGGCTATATTTCTTAAGCGATTACAGTTTGAATCTTTAAATCTTCTTCTCTCACTTTATTCAGTCACTCGTGTACCTATATGTATAGAAAGAGAGTTTAATGAACCTCTCCTTCTAGTTATTTATTTCACATGCACGCCCTTATTCAACAGTACTGAGACATTTATGTATTTTTCAATGATTCCCAGGCACCCACTGAGAAGTTTGGGTACAGGCTGTGTCTTACGTCCCAATTTTCTCCAAGAAATATGCTCCAAACAAGGTATAAATGGAAATAACTATAACTGTCCTGAAAAACAGATAGAAGTTCTGAGCAAAAAACTAGCACAATGAGGAAGGTATAGCATCACTTAACTTCCAAGTCGAGCAGCAAGAAATACTACAGCATTTTATTTCCCTCTTCTCCAGTGTGAAATCTAATTCTTGGCATTTGGAGGCCATTTGGAGCAGATCGATGGGGTTAACGCCCGTAGTAATCTGTTTGACCGCCTTGGGAGACAGCCAAGAAAGGTGTGTGTGTGTGTGTGTGTGTGTGCGTGCGTGTGTGCGTGCATATGTGTGTGTGTGTGTGTGTGTGTGTGTGTGTG